TTTTTTCCAATTTGAATCAAATTCTTAAATTTACTTTTCGGCTTCAACTCATCCTTGGATAATTGCTGCAAAATGTTTCTTAGTTAATTGTGAAAGTACTGAGTGAATTTCAATGGGAAAGTAGAGATGATGCTGTTGATACATTCCGATACTAGCTGGGAAAAGTCTACAAATCTTTGGTCTACATTGCAGAGGCAATGCCCTCAGGAGAATTGCTGGAACAAGTCACGTTTCGAAGCGAAAGCAATTGCTACTAAAATAAAAAGTTTCAAATTTATGGCCAGTTTTATGGTACACCATGACTTTGTCCATGAGATCAAGGGTGCTTACAAGCAACTGCAAGATAATATTCAACTATATGAGAACAACTTGTTTTTCCGTTCCCGATACTTGCTAGAACAGTCTGTGGACCTTTAAATCGGTTCATCATATGGCGAAGTATCTGTTATCAGTGCCACAGAACTGCGTAATGACTTTCAGATTCTCTCACGGAAAATGACGGAAATAGCTTCGTAAATTGTCTTGGATTGTATGTGCAATAATAAATTAGCACCATCGTTGTCCAACATCTTTCAAACTGACAACTCTCCTGTCTTTTCACACCATCATTTCTGGTAGTGAAAGAAACTTTTTCAAACACAAATTTATAAATATATATCCGAGATCAACCATGACAGAAACAAAAATATTTGAACTGGCAACAATTTCGAACGAATATGGAACTGCTTAAAAATTGGGCTAAAACAAGCAGTGTGGTATTTAACCACAATGAAAGCAAGAAAAGTAAAATTTTGTACTGGCACGATAATCACGTCCTAACTGTCACCGTCACATTTCTTCAGGCTTTAATAAATAAATAACTGTGATTTATAGTTTTGTGGCTTATTATACAATGAAAGTAAAACTGAAAGTGGGGTGAGGCAAATTGAAATTTTTCCTAAGGCGGAAAAATAGGTAACGTCAGACCTGTTGCTGGCGTATCCGTTATAAAACTAAACTGGTAAAAATAGCGTTTCAAACAAAACTTTGTGATGCAACACAGTCGGGTAGAACGAACACTAAACAAATGGTGATTAGGAAAATAGGTAAAAGCGAAATATCTCGTTGATGTTACGTATTCAATAAACATAGCAGAGTTTTAATGTTAAAAAGTCCTTTTCAGAAGAGTTTAATAATATTATTAAAAGATACATTTCGCCACACGTAATATTCTAAACTAAATCACCCTTCACCAGATTTGGCATTAAGCACGGTAACACACCATATAAGTTGATATCTCAAAACTGACGGAATAAATGGTATTTCAAAGAAAACTTGGCCATCAGCCAGCATTATGCACTTTCTTGTGGAAAGATGGGCAAATAAAAGATAGATAAATCTGGTACTAGGCAAAAGCCTCGTCAGCAGCGTTTTACAACCGACAAAGCGAAAAAATGCTTTTATTCATTATTTATGAGAAAATGGTTTTTCCTGTGACTTTTTTCCTACATTCTTTGTATCAAAGTGCAAAACAGTGGAGTTAAACTAACAGTATCACTTTAATAAAAAAGTTATAGAGTAAACATTCATTGAAACGGTTTAGTCATACAATAAATAAATCACCAGAATAGTGGAGTCAAACAGCAACAATATCATCATAATAATACAAACAAATATTAGCAATACCACTAGAATAACAGATTCAAATGTTAATAATATATGTAATAACAGAATCAAACAGTAACAATATTGCACAATAATCATTATATCAAACAGTAGCAATATCATAGTAACAACAGTCTAATAGAACAATATTATTGTGACAACAAAGTCAAACAATTACAGCCCCACTGCAACAATGACTAATGGCAATATATTTGGGAGAAAGAAAGAAAAAGTTTTATCCAAAAAGTTATAATAAAACTGAAAAACTTCACGAAAGCCCAATAAAAACATACGAATTATGGCCACTAAATTCTTAACTTACATGTTTTAACAACCCGCCAATAACTTCGAAATATCTACGTTAAGCTAAGTATATGCATAAATAAAATGTTAAACGATCTCATGAAGTGGAATTCAAGCCAGCCTTCGTGAAAGTTCGAAGTATTATATACATACGTAAGACAACAATATCAGGTCATAGTTTTGTTCCTAAGCGACAAAGAAAAGCGTTACAAAATGATGACTGGCATATATATATATACATATATTAGATTACAGAATCAACATAAGCCAGTTATTATTCTGTGTGTGTGTGTGTGTGTGTAATGCTGATATTATGAGTCATTTTTAATTTAAGTTGCACAATTCTTATTGATTTTTTAGAGCTTACTTGAAAATTGTTTTTATTTTCTCAATGTGTGATTGTTATTTTATGATGAAAGAGAAAGTTTGGTGAACAAAGCTCGCCGAAGGAAGGTCGGGGGGCCCGGATTTTCTTACAAAACTCCAACCCGTCATTTTTTGACGGCTAGGGCAAAAGTAGTTATTGTAATAACGAAAACTAACCGAATCATTTACTTATAGTAACACAGAGAAGATCGGATCAATATAGTGCTTTGTAAATTATATGCCAGCAAACATAAACAATTATGTAGATTAAAAAATAATAATTAAAATCAGGACTTGTCTACTGTAAAAATTGCTTTCATTGAATTAATTATTCATTTCAGTACGTTCCTCACTAAACATTAACCAAAATATTTATCATAAACATTTGCGATCTGTATACAAGTTGGTGTGTGTATATATAATTACACACACACGTACACATATGTGTCTTTGTGTTGTGTTTTTATCAAACACAGCTGAGAGGCTATTTTCCTCACATATCGACGCTGATTAGTAGTAAGTTCTGAAAACCAAAGTTAGCATAAGGTGGAGTTGTGCGGATATTAAAGTCTATTGTTGATAAGATTTGTTGCCTGTAGTACAAGAGCCAAACCTTAACATACCAACACAAGCTTTATCTCGCCACGTTACACTTAACGCTGACTACTTAACAACTGTTATATGGCACAGGAATGTGGAGCAACGACGATAAAACACTGCTACCTATAGTTTCTGATATTACATTATGAAACAAACAAACAAAAAATCCCTACTATGCTAAAGTTTCCTTCTGACCACTTAACAAATTAATCGAAAATAACTTCAACATTTATGTTGTGAAATGTAATATGCATTAACAACAATGAAGAATCGGTTATATTTAGATCACCATGTTTATTGAATTCGAGATTTGAGATTCATACTCTTAACGCTTGATAGAGAGGTTTCTCTGATAACGTCATTGTCCCTAACATAAGAGATTGTTTTCGAATCAACCATCGTAGTTGGTCTTGAATTAAACATCATTGGCTTTGCTTTACACTTAAATCAGACATTTTAATTCTAATTTGATAATTTTGGATACCAATTCATGGGCGTTTTCTGAATAATATGCAAAAATAACACATTTCTGTATGTTTTCAATAAAGTTTAGCCCACGTATCATCCTCAGTAGCCTAGTTTTGATAACCCACTTTAATTTTACTTTTACAATTTTGTTCCTACAACCGATCACAAACAATGAAAGCTAATTTTTAAAATGTGTTTAAGCACCATATATTTGCATTTTCTTCCACGTGTGAGGCTTGAAAATAGAGGTTAAGTCTGAGAGACGGTGTATCTGTACTGCTGTGTGAGCACTTTTCAACGGAAACCTCTTTGAAAAAGGTATATTTTACTCTGCACACAATGAAGTCTATACCTTCATTTTTTATTTTATTTTTTGGTTTTGTCGCCTGAATAGTTGAGTTAAACTCTTGCCAAAGATAAAAAATATGCTATTTTTCTGCTCTCTTTCTTTTAGATCTTAAAATTATACATAATGATAGGCACATACACACAAATAAACCAATTCTCTTCAATTTGGAATCTCGATTGGGAAAGTTTCGTACATCACTATTAGTTTCTTTTCAGGTAAAATGACCACATTGGTAAGAAACTCAGCTGTTCTTTGTTGCCCACAAGCTTGTTTGTCTTGAGGAAAATCACGTTATAACAAATACGTATTTTTGTCAGAGGCAGTTGCCAAGGGTTTTCCCCCGACTGATGAGTTTAGGAAATAATAGTCAAAATAAACGCTACACAAAGTTTTAAGCAAAATCACATGATCACTGTGGTGTTATATGTGTTCGACAACTGAAGGGCTGGTTGAAAAGACCGTTAATAAATCGTGGGCTCAGTCTAGTGAGTGTATGTAGATGTTGGTCATCCCGAAACTTTTACTTTTTCTTAGTGGAAATTTGTAATTGTATTTTACTCTGGCTGTTTTAGATTCTGGCTAAGTTATTCACACACACATTCACAAGTTCCACTTTAAATGTTAAATATTATATAAAAAATCAAACTGCCAATTTAGTTGTTTTTTTCAATTTTCACAGAAGCAAGTTAAAAAAAACAATCCCACCCATCAAATGATTGAATATGAATTGATTATACCCTCTAAAAGAGAAAAAATTGATGTTTTAATAAGTGGAATTTCTCAATTATTGGGATCCATGCACTTATTTTCCACAACTAAAAGGGATTCCGAACCCTATTATAAGTCCCAATAATAATTCTGGGTGAACAAAGCATATCTCTCTCTTGTTATTGATAAGAAATTATAATCTTTTTTACTTCCGGTGGGTCAACGGTAAGTTTACAGATTTACAACGACAAAATTGGAAGTTCATTTCACTGTGTGGGTCTACGATAAAGAAAAACAACAACAAATCTCTCTCACTTTTTCAGAGTCAAATTGATCATTCGGTAAAAATTACTTTACTACCGTCAAAAAAATGCCATTGAAAAGCAGAACGTCCCTCCCCTATATACGGTGTCAATCAATTTTGGAGTTAAAACGTGGATAAATGGGAAAGTACAGCCTCTGCATTAAGATCATATCTGAAACCATCGCTACTTCGTTTGGGAATATGTACATACGTATATGATATTTAATGTATGGCATTATATCTTTACAATTAACTTACACATGCGGTGGTAACTCGTAGAAGTTTACATTCCGATAGTGCTCCACGAATTCTTTTTTGTAGATCCCCAAGTCTTTGTAAGGATTCACAGAGACCAAAACTGATCCAATGTAAGTCTGTGGAAAAGAAAGACAAAAATAATATAAACTACATCGCTTTTATCTCGCCCACAAAATAGTGTACTTTCCTAACGATCTTAATACTCTTCTTTCAACCGATTGTTTTACTATCTTAAGCTTAGCAATATCCAAGTTTTGTGTTGTAATTTAAGACGATCTAAAACAAGTTAAAATCAAAACAGTTTTTCTGAATATGAAAGTTAATTGCCATATTTTAACGACAGCAACAGTTCATTTCACATTTCCAAGCTCAGAACAGTTGAGCAACAGTTAAATTCACATTTACAAGTTTAGAATAGTTGTCATATTTCAATGTTCAATACAGATAATAAGATTACCTTATTTACATTGTTATATTTCCATATTCAGAACAGTTACTTATCATATTTTCATGTCCAGGAAAATGATCTTTCATACTTGTGTAGATTATTTCATTACTTTTATTTTTTTCATTTATGTTTTCCATTTTGTTATTACACGTTTGGAAGAAAAAATATTTACTTATCATCGATAGGACCTCCCGATTAAGAAATCATTAAGCTAGGTCTTTTGCTCTTCAAAACCTTCACAATCATTTCATTGATAATCGTTAAACAACGAACCCTTGGAAACTTCAATAGGAAACTGGTTAAATTAGATCTTTCATAGCTTTGAAGATATTGACTATATTTTACTTCTTAATTTAAAACCAGTTTGCTTCAGGCAGATGGAGCTCGTCAGCCTGGGAGAGCAGTCCATCTAGGGGAAGGAAAACCCTGATTCTAAACCTCCGCTGCCTTGCGGGATACCCAGTTGTGGGGAAGGCTTCGGGAGTTAACCCTGAGGAAAAATCTGGAGTGGAGCCCCGTAGTCGGTCAGGCGGCGTGCGACGTCACTTTCCGTCAACTTCAATAGCTGTGGCATGTGCAGCTACTACTTCCTGGTCCCCTGGATCTTGTTGTGGAGGGTATTGCCTGCCCAAGCATGTGAAGTCTGGTTACACTTAATTGCGCGGAAGAAATCTGTAACGGTTCAACGGGCAAATGAGCAATGACCAGCACCGCATTGTGGAGTGTGAAGGGCGAGGCAGATAGGAAGTCACGGTCATCCACTGCATCCTGATCTATCCCCAGTCGTCTTGACTTGTTCTTGCCACTGGATCCGGATGGGAAGGGACGAGAGGGTGAGGTCGACGACTTGCGCAACTCTTCCTCACTATAATCCAAGTCCAGCGCACGTCACGACATCACTCCGTTGCAGTGTGTGGGAGCGGAGAGGGCTCAGACTAACCACCAAGCTGAAGGTCTATCGGGCAGTGGTATTGAGCGTCCTACTATTTGCCAGTGAAACATGGACTGTGTATCAGAGGCACGCCAGAAAGCTTAATCACTTCCATCTGTGCTGTCTCCGCCGGCTCATCCATGTTAAATGGCAAGACAGAGTTCCCAACACAGACGTTCTCAAATGTGCTGGTGTCCCTAGTGTATACACGCTTCTCCAGAAAGCACAAGTCAGATGGGTCGGTCACCTCATGAGAGAACTTGCTTCGGTATTCTATCAGCTGGCATTCTAAGTTCACCATGACTCCCAGTTCACATGGTTGATGTCGAACTCTTGCAGGGATAGTTTTAAACAGTCTTTAAAACGTTTCTTCTGTCCTCCAACCGATCGTTTACCTTCACTGCTCGCCCAGGATAGATTTCTTTGGAGAAC